CCCCGTGCTTTTTGTCAGGGACTAAAAACGTCCTCGTGCATTTTGACAGGGACCAAAATGGCCCTCGTGGTTTTGACAGGGACCAAAACGTCGTCGTCTCGTCTTCCACGGTGTCCCACATCCAAGTCGCGTCAGCAAACTAACGTGCCAACTGTGCACCGTTAGTTGGGCCGTTAGGTGGGAGTTAACGGAAGGATGAACGTGACCTCTTTTTTGTTATTTCAGGTACCAATCTGTCCCTTTTTTATTGCTAGGGACTGAAAAGGGCTTCGTGGATATTGCCAGGGACTAAAAAGGGTATTTACTAAAAAAATTATATTTTTGAGCAATTTTTGAGAGTTTTTGGAAGTTTAAAAATGATTTATCAAGTTATTGGTCGCGATTTTTCTTGGTACAACAACGTGTGATTTTTGTATTAAAAATAACATGAAACACTAAAAAATTAACAGGGGAACAAAAAATTAACAATGTGTGATTTCTTGTCCATATCTTGTATTTTTTTTTATTTATGTCTGAAATTTAAACTTCCCAGGTGATTAGTTAGATGTTTTAGCTTCTTCTTCTTTTTTCATGAAATTATCAAGTGCTTCAGTTGTGATCTTGTTTGATTGTAATACTTCTATGTGGTGCGTGCCCCTGTCTCTGAATTATTTCTGTAGTAAAGAATGAGGAAATTGAATGAGTTATTCTTTATAGTTCATAATATGCTTGCTGGAGCTTTTACTTTCTCTAGATTATAGTGGTCGCTTCAGCCCGTTTTGATTTTTCTAAAGTTAATAATTTGTTCACTTTCATCTTTGGGGGAATATGGAAATGTTTTATACGTTACTTATAGCTCAAATTTCTTGTTCTATTTTATGGAAGTGAATTATTGTAACTGATCATCCTAGATTTAGTTATCGATCTTTCTTTACTGATTATATAGTTTATAATGTAATTCATACAGAACATGTAAGTTAGAATAAAAATGAAAAATCCTTTTATTTTGGCTTTGTAATCAAACTATCATGTATTAGGCTTTGTAATCAACCTAGTTATCGTAGCATTTTAGGCTTCAAGGTTATCATCATCAGGGCATCAGCCCTCAGGAAGCCTCGGGTTCTGAAGAAGTACTAGTTATTATTTTAGTGTATACTAGTGAAAAAAATATATATTTCTCCTACTTTCTCTTTTGTCAATTTAAAGACCTGATGATTGGTTATGTCATTTTCATGATTATGATGCTGTAATGCCTTTAGCTCCTTATCTTTCTACTTAAATAAAAATGGTCAAGTATTGTTTGACTAACTGCTTTGTCTAACAAATTTCAGGGTCAATTAATAATAGGTTGTAATAGTTTCTCCAGTGGATCGAGCTATGCCACCATAAACATATAAAAGTGATAATCATGTCAATTCATAAATGATAATTGATATAGTTTATTATTTTGGCTTCTGATGCTCTGGTTTGTAACAATTGATTGAATTTATCATACTTTTTAACAGTAAAGGATGTACTCTTCCATTTCCCAGAAGTGTATTTGCACCATAGTTAGCAGGGGCGTATGTGTGTGATTACTTGCAGCCTTCTGAGACTATTGAGGTTTGTTCCATTTCTGTAAAATAACTTACCTTGTTGTGAATGATGTGTCAATCTTTTTGTTTATTTGCGTTAAAAGTTTTCACGCTAAATGTTTTCCTTTTGTATATAGCACAACCCTTTACTTTTGCTAAAGGTTTGATTTGATTTGACCCTTAGGAGTTAGGACTTCATATATCAAGTGATACATACCAAAAATAGTAATAATAACATTAATTATGTGCTTTTGGTCCTCTTTAGGCCTCAGACGTATTCCGATGCATCTACGTGGGGCCTAAGAAACTCATAGAGTCATAATGATTTCCAATGCATCTACGTGAGATAGTTTTCTTGGAATTTTAGAACTCTTCTCCCTTTTACCTTTCATGGAAACAGAGATAGTTTTCTTTGTCTCCAAAGTTGAGCCTTCTTGCTTATCAACTTTTTTAATCAAAACCTTCCTCTGTTTCCCAAAATCAGGTTCGGGTGGATTTATCTTTTTCCCAAAATCAGGTTCAGGTGGAGCTGATTTGGCAAAGGCAACTGTGGTTTGATAAATATTGTCCGCATCCAAAGATTTTTGTTGTATCTATCTAATTTCTGATTTCTAAATATACCTCTTATATGCGAGGGGTTGTTTGTTTAATCATTATTACTGTTATCTGGGGTTGTGCCATCTGTTGTTTACGGCAAACCCCGCATGATTATTCTACTGTTCTTCCATAAGGGTTTTAATGCTTCCTAATATACACTTCTTTCTAAATTGTATTCAGCTATGTTGAATATCATAGATACAAGAGGAAATGATAGTAATCTTTGTTGTATTAAACTACACAACATTGGTGCTATTATATAGCAAATCAATTGAAGAATACAAAGAGACACACTCAATGTGGGACTTCTACACTATTAACACTAACACTCTTAACACTCCCCCTCAAGCTGTAGCATATAGATCATATGCTACAAACTTGATACATAAATAATACTCCCATTAGGAACCAAAAACAACAATGCTACATCAACGAAATGAAATGACTAAGTACAACAAATCAACTGGAATGACCATCAGTCTGAAGAGCTGATAAAGAGACAGTGCTGGAATGGACATCAGAGCATGGATGGTGCCAGAATTATCATCGGCAAAGACAACTGAGCTGACCAGGACATCAGCATCAAGATCCCTCTCAGACATTTCATTTAACAGTTGGTGAGCAACCGTGGTTTACCCTTGACTATGCTACAAGCTTATTACAAGAAAGACCAAGTAACATAACATCAAAATAAATCTCCTAAATGAGAAACCAAAAATCAACAATGTGCTAAAAATGGCGTCGAAATGAACATCAACATGGAAGATGCCGGAATGATCATCGGCAAAGACAATTTTGCTAGAATGACCATCAGCAACATGGACGGCGCTCTCCCTCAAGAGGAACTTCTAAACAGTGCCGGAATTATCATCGGCAAAGACAATTGTGCTGGAATGACCATCAGCAACATGGACAGTGCTCCCCCTCAAGAAGAACTTCTAAACAGTGCCGAAATTATCATCGGCGGAGACAACATCAGCAACTTGGACAGTGCTCCCCCTCAAGATGGATGATGAATAGTATAAATACTCCATCTTGGGAAGAAAGAAGATTAAAGAAAAACAAAGCTTCGCGGAATCGAAAAAGTCGCCGGAGACGGCGGTGGGTCGTCAGAAAAGTCGTCGGAGACGGTGGTGGATCGCCGAAAAAGTCGCCGGAAATTCATCGGAAAAGTCACCGGGAAAAGTCGCCAGAGACGGCTGTCAACGGTGGACGACGCGGTCAACGGTGGTCAGTCAACGACAACGATGGTCAACCCAACAACTTCCCAAGGATCATTCTTTTCTGATGTGACAGATCAGTTTAAGCTGCAGTCATAGAGCATACTAAGAAAAACCCGAAAAAAGAAATAGCAACGGTAATCCCTCAAGGAGGGTGATATCTCTCTATAACCATATTGAAATTATGGAAAATAGAACTAAGTTAAACGGATTAAGATTCCTCTTGTTAGGCTCTAGATACCATGTTGAATATCATAGATACAAGAGGAAATGATAGTAATCCTTGTTATATTAAACTACACAACATTGGTGCTATTATATAGCAAATCAATTGAAGAATACAAAGACACACACTCAATGTGGGACTTCTACACTATTAACACTAACACTCTTAACAAGCTCTAAGATTAATTAAATCATCATATAATAGCCCAATTCAAATTATTTTTACTTTAGTATTATCAAGTGATGGTACTATATTCTCTGTTGATGTTTGGGAAATAGACTCTTTGCATTGAAGTTGGCAACTAAATGGCACCAGTGTTGTTTATCACTTTATCTGTGGAAAAAAGTTTGGAAATTATTGCAGTTCATTTGGTTCTGTAGGAAACAAAGTTTGAAGGAAAGCCATGATCTATTTATTTTTGACACAGCTATATCCATATTTTAGCTTAGTGGAGAAACAGAAACTATCAGTTTTGATATGATTGAACATGGTTTTTTGGCCCGTGCGGGCTGTTTAATTTGTGGGCTTTTTGACCCTGGCCCGCGTGGGTTCCGGCCCGTTTTGACCGCTCTAGTTTCTATTATAGCTTCCATTATGGCCGTCATCCAAAATCCTAGTATGGCTCATATTTTGTTACTTTCTGTTGCCAATAGATTACTTTTGTTCTACTTTTAAACAAACAGATGGGAGAAAGGGGAGGGTAAATAAGGAGGGAGTATGCATGTGTGTGTGTATATTATAAATTTCCTTCACCATGCAAAAGATTCAAAACAAAAGGCAATAGATAGATAGATAGATAGATAGGGCGATAGAGATGTCTTTGGTATTTGTTCGTGCATGTGTACTCGAACGAGATATGTAGCTGGGATGTTAATATACAGGACAAAGGCAAGGGCGTCTGGTATGGAATAGACCAGAGTCTTGCAGGACAGCCTATGGGAAAAGAACATTACTGGTTATTCCATTTTACAATTATGTGCTAGATGCTTCTGTTGTATTGTACATTGACTCAAAAGAATTGGATAAGATATATCTTTGAATGCTTTTAATGGAATATATTAGTTTGGGATTAAATGTGATGTTGATGTTTGATGTTTTTAATGGAATATAATGCACTTGACCCATTGGCCACAAAATGAAGAAAACTATGGGAGTGGGACATAGAAATGGTGTCAGTAAACTGGTTCATGCCCGGTTGATTTGTAAATTAGTTCATGCCCGGTTATAATCCAAAAAAGTAACTTGATGACCAATTGTACTCTAATCAAAGCATAAGACAAAACTTACAAATCCATATTCATCTATTAACATTATAAGAAACAGTTATTAACATTATATTTTTAGATAAATTAACATTATTTTAAAAATTCTTGTGCCTTCATATACTGTAGTTTTGTACACGTTCACTGTTCACCTATATAAATTTTTTTATTTTTGCTTTTTAGTAAATTGTTTTTTTTTTAAGAAAATTTATATCAAATTAGGAAAAAGCTTGGTGGGTTGCAATAAGGGGCGTCAAAATTCTCTCTGCTGGCTTAGGGATTCGTGATCTTCTTCACATTTACAAACACCTTCTCTTGTTCCTTCAGTAATCAGGTTCAACATTTTCTTGCTTTCCCTTCCCCTTAAATTCGACCTCGTTTTCTTAACCTAATCAAATCAAAATCGACCAATTCCTTTCTGACGCAAATCAAATCACTGCTTAAAGAGGATAGTTAGTTAGTTGGAAGTTGCAATGATTAAAGGTGGTAGAATCCGGCTGAACACGTGGCAGCAGGCGGCGGTGGCAGTGGGTTCGGCGGTGGGGGCGTTGTTGGATCCACGAAGAGCGGATTTGATAGCAGCTCTTGGAGAGACAACTGGAAAGCCCGCTTTCGAGAAGGTTCTTCAAAGGATGAAAAGTTGTCCTGAAGGCAAGGTCAGTTTTATTTTATTCTTCCCTTACCCTTTAATTTTTGGTCAATTTCATGTTTTTAATATACATGTTCTCCTTGCTCATGTTATTGTGAAACTAAATTATTGTTGTTAGTGAAATTTATGTGATAGGTCTATATAGCAAGTAACAACAATGTTTTCAATGTGATGTTGAATCAGCTCTTTTATGAGTTGGCGTTGTGTTATTATTGGTAATCCCTGGATGAAAACGGAATCTCAGATAGTATTGCGGTTCCTTTTGGTAATATTATGTGTTGTTAAAGATTGTTGTGAGTTTTAAACTGTAGATTGCATCTAAGGATGGCTGTAGCTTCATTTCTTGGATGAATGTCTTAGAAAAAAAAGTATGGAAATTGTTGTGGTTGGAATGAATTTGTGATTTATTGAGAGTGGAGACTGTGGTCCAAAACAAGTGATGCTTTTTTCGTGGAATAACTTGTCATTGTTGTGTGCCACAACTTTCAGCACTTTGCAGTTGAGTGATTGTTGTTTTAACAGTTTATGACACTCAGGAAGTGTTTTACCACCAGAATCATCTTCTGTTGTCTTTATGATCTATGTACATGTATCTAGACTCATTTGAACTATGCTTTACACTAACTTAAATTAAATTCCCTCATTGGGCCTTTTATGGGTAGGGGTGCAGCTGTCGGATTGAGTCCTTGCCCTTTCTCTGGATCACTGCCAAAGTGCTGAAGTGACCAAACTAATCATATGATTTTATAATTTGTAACTTACATATTCACACTTCTAACTTAGGCTAAACAATGTGCAATTAATGCACTTTGGACAAAATTAAAGTTTATGCATTAACGAAAGGACCCTGTTAGATAAATGTTGTTATAAATAGTTGTCGCTTAACAATGATTCTCATTGCTATTTCTGATGTATTTGGCATTCTTTACTGTCTAAGAGGAAAACTTGTTTCTTTCAAGACATACTATACCATGTCACATTAAAGACCAATCCATTTTCTTTCATAATCTTGTTTGATAGGCAGTACTATTAGAGCGCCCTCGTGTTGTATCTGCAAAAGTAGGGCATGCATGGGACCTGCCAGCAAACACATTTGGTGCTGCGTATGCTAGATTTATGGGATCCAGGAACTTTTCACCAGATGATCGTCCTCCTGTACGGTTCATGGACACAGATGAACTGGCCTATGTAGCCATGCGGGCTCGTGAAGTGCATGACTTCTGGCATACCCTATTTGACCTTCCTACTAACTTGATTGGGGAGTCAGCACTGAAGGTAATTGAGTTTCAGCAGATGCACCTTCCTATGTGTCTTCTGTCTGTTGTAGGGGGTACAGCAAGATTCAGCGAAAAGCAGAGAAAATTGTTTTATCAGCATTACTTCCCATGGGCCATTCGTGCTGGCATGCAGTGCACTGATCTTATGTGTGTATATTATGAGCGGCATTTCCATGAAGACTTGGAAGATGTTCGCAGAAAATTGCAAATTGTTTCTGCTCCTGCTATTCCTTAACTGCATATTTTTGGACCTGGCAAGTTATATTTTGTTTCCTGGGTGGTAGCAGTGTGCTAGAGTTGTGTAACTGAAATTTTTGAATAAAATCCAGTATACAAGTTTTGCGTCTGATGTTTAGTCAGTGAGCTTTTTATAGGTTGGATTTTATCATTGACGTCTATACCATGATCAATAAAATAAAATACAATCGCATGTTTGTTTTTTTCAGCATATCCTGTTTTTAATTTTATCCTTCTGTGCTATAGTGATTCTTCAATCCATATGATTGTAGCCACGGGATTACTGTATCATAATGGCAATAGAAAGGATCACTTTTGTTTGTGTGGAGATCCCTGGGGAGGTTTATAATTGATAGTCCTTATTTATCTTAATTTCTTGCATATAGCAACATATTCAGAGAGGTTAGTTCGTTGCCCAAGCCTTGGATGTTTGATCGTTTTTAACAGGAGAAAAAGTAAGCTTTTGAAGGTATACACGCCTGCAATTTCATCAGTAATGCGAAAATTTCAACCCCCTTCATTTATGCTACGGAGAATTAGATGCAAATGTTGTGATGCCTCTTGGTTAATCAGCGGTGGGCCCTACACTCAGCTCTCTCAATCGGTGGGTCACTATTGTAAGTGTCTATGCCCGGAAAAAATTTTAGGTGCTCCAAACCTATGGGTCCTCTCTTTTAAGAGTGACATTTGGAAAAAAAAAAATTCTCTCTCTCTTCTCTCTCTCCTTTCCCTCCCTCTTCTTCGTCCCAATATAACTAATTACCTATCACTTCAATAAAACAAATTATAAATTTAACATAGTTTAAGAAATTGCAATTTAAAAATAATAAGTGTGAAGACTAAATAGATAATTGAGACCGTTAATATTCTCACTCTTCTTTTTTTCGATTTTGGATATATTTTTAATCTATATTCAGATGTGCAAGAACACTATTCTTGCCTTAATATCATATAATTCAATTTTACAGCGTATTGTTAAACTATAGTTAGTATTGTATATGAATTTAATTTTGTTGAAATATAGTGTAGCAATTTTTTGCTTTTGCATTTATATGTGTTATCACATCATTTAATAACATTTTACGTAGTTTTTAGTATAATTAAATGAGATAGGTTATTCTGTCTACTCTTATTTTGCCTACCTTTGTCTACCTCTCTTAACACCGTTAGATTACAATCTCATCTAATGGTGGAGATTTGTGAAAGAAAATAAATTATTTTTCCCTATCTTTCTCCTTACTACCTCCCACACTCTTTCTCTCTTCTCCCCTTTCTCTCTATTGATTTGTGTAATTTACAATCTGAATTTATATTTAAATCTAAATTCAATCAATGATTAATGACATGATAATTCTGATAGATGAATATAATTTTTAAAATTCCTTGAATCTGATATAATTGGACACGACAGAAATCACAAAAATACAAAAAAATGAAAACCACGAAGAATCCCTTCCTTTGAATTAATCCACGATTACCGTAACGTTTCTATTTTGCTGTTGAAATTTGAAATCGAATCAACTTATCTCCTTTTTCTTATTTTGTTTTTCACCTTGAAGTAGGGAAAGGATCTATGTTCTCTCTATGTTACGCTTAACAACATGCATACCTGATCCCATAACATAGGGCATATGGATTTGTTTCTTCTTGACACCACTTTTTAATTTTTTATGTAAATGCTCATAACAATGGCTGAGTTGGATGAATTGAGAAAAAAACTTGCACATTTTTTTGATGATGAAGCGCCATTAAAGAGAGAGAGAAAGGAGAGGACAGAGAAAAAATGAGAGACAGTGAGAGAAAGAAGTAAAAGAGTTTATTTTATATGATAAATCTCCATCATTGGATAAGATTGTAATCTAACGGTATGGAAAGGAGTAGGAAAAATAAGAGTAGGCAAAATAACCTATCCCTAATTAAATACTTTAAAGTTGGGGTGTTAAAATAAAATTGGATGAAAATGTAAATTACACTTATAAATATATGGATCAAAATTAAGTTTATTTATGTTGGGAACAAATTATATAATAAAATACAAATACAAGTATAATAAAATTAATATTTGTACAAAAAAAGGAAAAAATGTAATTAATAAATATGAATAAATAATTTACGACTATTTTATCTTTATTAATAAAGTACATCCAACTAAACATTTGAATGTAGCTCAAGTAAACCAAGAAATGGTAGCATTAATTAAGATAGAGCTTTCTTACATGAAAACATTGATAGGCATAACCATGTTCAAATTAAACATTAATAAACCTTCATTCACTGACTTATGTCTGCCTCTAAACAGATTGAAGGAATCGTTAAACTTTAGTACCAATAGCACTCACATAACAAGACATATATACAGAAGATAGATCATGCATACATTACAATCCACAACTTATATATATATTTGAAAATTACCATCAACATTATCTTCACCTTATTTAACTACCCACTAAGTAACCATTACTTATCACTCAACATTCTGATGAGCAGGTTATTCCCTGATCCTTAGTCCCCATGTTCTGAATTGAAGAACATTGATTATTTTCTACCTTCTTGTGTGTCTTCTGATCTTCAGGTTGTGCCTGTGCCATTTCTAGTTGCTTTAGTAAACTCTTAATCCACACAAACATGGAGCTGCCCATGCTAACACTAGATATAGCTTTACCAACCTCATAACTATAACTCTGTCCAGAAAAACACCAACTTAAGAGCAATATATTTCCATTGTAGAAGAATACACTAAGCAATTCCAGCATCTTCAAAAATATATCTTTGGCAGAAATTGGCCTTAGTAAAGGGTGATCAGAAAAGGTTGAAGGTTCCAACTTTGAAATCACTGGGCAAATAGACAACCCTTTTTTCACCTTATGGTCCTTCACCCATTCAACTATATAATGAACCAGCTTTGAGACCAACACATGTAACAATCCAATCACCAGGTTGAACAAGCCAGTTTTCAGAATCTCAAGGTTGAACTTCAAGACTGTATCCCAGTACCAATCTATGGAACTGCGAGTGGCTCCCCAGTATACTAAAGAGGGTACTCCAATACCAACACAGATTCCCAAATGAGCATGCATCTCAAGTGAGAATTTTAAGTATAAACTCATGGGAATGCCAAGACCCCATGACCATGGCTCATTCATGAAGGCACTAGAAAGTGAGGAAGAACCTTCATTGATAAAAGCTAGGATACAGATAGAGAGGAGGTGAAAAATCTTGCCAAAGTCTGGCCCTAACAAACCCATATTGGATTGATTGATTGATTGACAGAGAACAAAGGAGGAAAATTTTGATAAAGTGTTTTGTGATGGTGGTGGATCATTTGAGGAACTAGTTCAGCACAAAAAGGGTTATTTATAGAAACCTAAGAAACTTCCTAGAAATTTCCATCTTCATAAACACTTGGAAACTGTTGTGAATATAGGAAGGAACATTGGAGTACCTGCAATTCCTTTATGTTTGTCCATCTGATATTAGCTTCTTCAAGTATTGATGCTTTCTACTGGTAGTAAGTGTGCCAGAAACTTCAGAGAACTTTCTTTCATGTAAATTTAGTGTCAAAGTAATAGTTGTTCAGTTGTTGTAATATTTGTACGCCTCTCTCTCTCTCTCTCTCTCTCTCATGTTTTATAGTCCAATCAATGGATCCTATAATTTCATTTTCCCGGGGTTACCACACAGTAGCAGGAAAAATAAGAATATTACTTTTATTTTATTTTTATTAAAAAAAGAAGGAGAAAAATATTTTTTTTTTCTCTTTGCTCCATTTCTTTTTCCTATAAATAAAAGTATAAAACATGCATGTAAAAGATGAAGTATGAAAGTAACATTATTTGCGGGAAAAAGGTAATATGGCTGGGTCATATCATGAATGAATAATTTGGATATTTCCAGTTATAATGAGGCCTAACATCTTAATACTTGATCAATACTTTGAGGGCTATAAGATTATTGACAATTTTTTTTTTTTTTTGTGTGAAGAAACCTATTGACAATTTGATGATAGTATGTGTAAATTTCATTTAGTGTGATGTCCAGCGGATGACATACTAAAGAAGAATTAAAGTTCAAACTTAAAAAAAAAAAAAAAAAAATTACCAAAAACTTTATTATTGTCATAATCGTCAATTTTCACCGCTCATACACAGTCGGATCCTTGCAGTTTTACAGCAGGTGATGGAAATGCCAATCGAATGGTTGGCACTTATTAAATCATTTTTTCAATATTTTTTTCGAAGAAAAATGATTTTTGAAGAATCCTTTGTGACTTAAAAATTGAAAAGGATCATGATCTAAATCCATCAAGACAAAAAATTACCATTTGCAGTGATTACAATGCATAATATATGTTTAGATTGACTTCCATAATCACTCGCTAATTTTTGTTCCCTTACGGTAAACTGTTTTATAAAAAAAGGAATATATATATATATATATATGGAAAAATATTTCTATAGTCACTTTAGATAAGGTTATCTACAGCCACTATTTTTAACTATGTTCTTCCGGGAGAACATAGTTATAACATTAAAGTTTTTTTTCTCTCTCCACATCAACAAACAAGTTCTGAAAAGTAGCTGAGAAGAGAAAAAAAAAAGCAACTTTACTATTATAACTATGTTCTCCCGGGAGAACATAGTTAAAAATGGTGACTGTAGATAGCCTTATCTAAAGTGACTGCATAAATGTTTACCCCATACATATATATAGAGAGAGGTAAGATCCTTTGACACCAGTGTCAAATTTGAAGTTTGACACCTTATCTGATAACCGTTAGATCAAAAAAGATCAACGGTGTTACATGCTTACAAATCAGAGTCGTTGATCTTTTTTGATCTAACGGCTATCAGATGAGGTGTCAAATTTAAAATTTGACACTGGTGTCAAAAGATCCTACCTTATATATATATATATATATATATATATATATATATATATATATATATATATATATATATATAACTTACACTGGTGTAAAATAATCCTTATCCTATATATATATATATATATATATGAAACAAGATATTCTAGAGTTAAAAGTCTTACACTCAATCTTGATCATTAATTCACTTGTATCCAATGACTCACATTACTAAAAAAATTAGAGCATTTAGATATAAGTAGAATCAACGGACAAAATTAAGAGTGTAACTTATACTAGTGTAAAATGATCTTGACCCATATATATATATATATATATATATATATATATATATATATATATATATATATAAGTACAATTCGGCAGGTAATTTTTGATATGAAGGGGTCCTAATTTTATAATGGTTGACCTCAAACCAAACTCAAGCTTAAGCATGCCGGATTTCAGCGAGTCATTAGCGTCCAACAAAATAATTCGGTGCATAATAACAAATTAAAGGAATTGCTAAGCACACATAAAATACAAAACTAGAAGCAAAATGTGCACTTCATAATAGAAATATTTGTTTCTGACAAACACAGTTCTGTAATAGATGTTTAGGACAGAGCATTCTTGATCGACTTATCCCAGCAACCATAACCTATAATACACCATATCTTTCATTATGTTTCCACGACTTAAATTTTAAAAGCAATCATTCTTCATGCAAAATATTGTCTCAAAAGGTATCATTTTGCATCCCCAGGCCCACCAAAGAGGTACCCCAGAGAAGAGCCACCACCAGGGGCAGCATGGACCTTGGTTGAGGGTCGGTCCTGTAGCCGAATTAGAAAAGAAAAAAAAAATCAATCAAAATAAATTCATAAGAAAATATAATCTAAGCATGTGCAGACAAGCAATAGTAAGAAAACTTATGAAATGAGCAGAATAGAAGTGAGCTAAAAATAGAAATAAAACGGGACAAAATGCAATATCTAGTTTTCATTTATTTCAACAGATTGTTTTGGGAAGTATAATCTTAATGTAGTTGCAACTTGCAAGACATCACCCTCTAGTACAACAACCAAGCCTTATTCCACTATGTTCCTGCATGCAGGATTGAATTAAGTTTTCAAGACAAGACGGATACTCTGTCACTGATATAAAGGTAATAACATAAATTTGACATACTACAGTTTAAATAAGCATACTTAGGTCAAGATGTTCATCTGATAGGAAGCGAACTTTAAGTATTAAGAAATATGAAGTATGAACAAATAACAGTCAGTGCTGGCATACAAGGTTAAATACATAACTAAGTGGATTTACTGTTACTTATTGAATAGGCAGATCAATACTTTAAATTCTTATGTGTATGGAAGTTCAAATCTAACTAGATTATAATGTTTATTTTCAAAATATTTGACAATTTCCACACATTTTCAGATATCACAACTAACTAGATTGAGACAACCAAGGCTAATTTCATTTTGAAAAAGGTGAGGTGACAAGTAAAAATATTATCTACATGAGTCCATTGTAATTTTTAACAACTAGAATGTACTAAACTACCAAATTTACTATTGTAAGTGTGCAGTGTGCCAGATTTAATCCCTCATAGTGCCTTCATATTCATGATTTTGTAAAGCAGTTCAGAGCTTAAACTATCATCCTAACACTAAACCTGGAAAAGGGGAAACTACAAATAAGAAGCACAAATAATACCGTGATGAAGTTGCCGGTGTTCAGGCCATCTACAGAATTACTATTGATACCAGCAGGCTTGTTTGGGTCTATTGTTTTAGGAGCAGCAGCTGGTTTTGAAGGAGGAGCAGCAGCTGGTTTTGAAGGAGGCGCATTATTTACAGTCTGCCCTTCAGGTGGGGCATTATTTGTTGCTGGTTTTGGGGCCTCTCCACTGCCAAAAAGATAACCCAAAGAACTTTGACCACCACCACTGCTAACTCCACGACCCATGTTCTTCAACTGCTGTCTGAAAGGTAAAATCTAATCTCCGCCTTCACATGGGTGAACAAGATTGCATAAAATTAGAAGTAACAAAAGAAGTATAACAAACAAAATGAAGGACGAAAATAAACAGTGAGAAACTACAAATATTTAATAAGACAACAGTCACTGCAAAGTATACACTGAACACCAATCAAAGTCATTAGCATTCAAACAACTAGCATATACTTTTTCATTTCCCTCTTGCAAAGTAGGCCTAGCCATCAGTAACAACAAACCACAGATAAATTGATCAAGTTGAAAACAAAAAGCTTGATTGTCGGACTTTACCGACACCATTTCTATGTCCCACTCCCATAGTTTTCTTCATTTTGTGGCCAATGGGCCAAGTACATTATATTCCATTAAAAACATCAAACATCAACATCACCTTTATCCCAAACTAATATATTCCATTAAAAACATTCAAAGATATATCTTATCCAATTCTTTTGAGTCAACGTACAATACAACAGAAGCATCTAGCACATAATTGTAAAATGGAATAACCAGTAATGTTCTTTTCCCATCGTCATTCTACAAGACGACTATTCCGGACAACTCTGCCACTACTTGGGCAGTTTCTCCCCACTAGGTCCACTCCACCACTCTATCAACCTCCCTCCACTACAAACAACCACCATCACTCACTATGTCACTATGTGCAATCCACCCACACTCACCTGCAGAACCTCCCACTACTTGCAACCACCCACAACAAACCCCTATCATCATATAAGGTTCCTCCCAACATAAGAAGAGGGACTCAATGGATCACTCTTCCTCAGCATATCATACCCAAAGCATCCCCAGTCACATACCCCAACCTCTAGCATATGCATACACATACACATCTCCCCTTCATACTTTGCACTCTTGCTTAGGCTGTCCTGCAAGACTCTGGTCTACTCCATGCCAGACGCCCTTGCCTTTGTCCTGTATATTAACATCCCAGCTACATCTCTCGTTCGAGTATACATGCACGAACAAATACCAAAGACATCTCTATCGCCCTATCTATCTATTGCCTTTTGTTTTGAATCTTTTCCATGGTGAAGGAAATTTATAATATACACACACACACATGCATACTCCCTCCTTATTTACCCTCCCCTTTCTCCCATCTGTTTGTTTAAAAGTAGAACAAAAGTAATCTATTGGCAACAGAAAGTAACAAAATATGAGGCATACTAGGATTTTGGATGACTTTGAAAGACCATAATGGAAGCTATAATAGGAACAGTAGACTCAGAAGAGTGCATAGTCTCTAACGAAGCCTATCCAAAGGAAGCATTCCCTTGCTCCCTTTCCCGTTCCTATACAATCTTCCAAACGAACCGCACAACATCTAAAGGGACGAGATTTACAGCCCAATCTTGCCCATTTCCTTCCATCTCTTCTTTTGTCCCTTCCCCCGTTTCATAGTTATTCCTTCTTTCAGGAATCCTTCTCTTGTTTTTGGGTAGCCTCAATCTGAAAGTGAAACTGAAAATAACCCTTCCCATTCCCATTCCCATACATGCAGGATAAGGTACTCTTTTCAACAGCACCAAGGCAAGTCTCTAGTTGACTCAATGCAAGGAAAGCCACAAGTAATAAAAAACCAAACTCTCTAACTAGCCCAGTATTATCATTCACATTTCACTGTATAAGAACAAGAACAACGCCATGAATAAAATCAAATCACTCTTTATCCTTGGAAGCATAAAAAACAAATATCTCAAAATCCACAATTCCACAGAGTTGAAGCTAATAGTAATAATAATAATTGAAAATAGATCTGAGCAAGGGAGGTTAAGCCCAGAAAACGATCTAACACAAAAGCAGAACAGATCAAACGAAATGCGAATGGTACACAAGGAGAGGGGGTTCCAGATCCAGAAGAGAAATGCAAAATTAACAGCGAATTTTGAGAAGAGAACGAATGAATGAATGAATGAATGAGGGGGGAAACCCTAATTGAGAAAGGGAAAGAAGAGTTAGTTAGTTACCTGTGGCTGTGGCTGTGGCTGTGGATGTGAGAGAAGCAGATCTGGAAAACGCAAGGGCCAAGGCGGAGTGATGAAAACAGATGAGCGCCTTATAAATAGAATAGCCTCTCATACCATACACTTCAATCATTCATATTCTACAATTCCTTTTTTTCTTTTCTTTTCTTTTTTTAAATACATTGCCATTTTTGGATAAAAAGGAAGCTAATAACCAGCTATTTCCAGGCCAACTTTTGGTTATATTTTCTTAATATATATATATATATATTACAACTTAAACTTTTTAAAGTTACTTTTTTCAGCGATCACAAATGGCTTTATTTAGAAATTATTCAGAAGGATTCATTCTTTCTTCTCCAGTCATAAGTTCAATACGTATCGTTTTAGAACAAAAATTATGATATTTTTATAATTTTAATTTATTTTAAGATTATTATAGTTTTTATAACTATAATTTTTAAATCTTTTAATCTTAAAACGACGATAACTTATATATTTATGTAATCAGAAACCTTTTCGTCCTAATTATTTATTCGTTGTATATAACTTGTTTATCAGTTATGCCACCTCTCTAAGATTAGAAATCTACACAATTATATTATAGAGCAGTTTTTTTTTTGGTATATATAGAGCAGTTTTCTACTCCCACATATGATAATGTAGTAATTTGATTGCTCCTTTACTTTTGGTATTAAAATAAAGGGTTTTATAAAAGTTATGTTGTAGGAAAAGTGATTGTGTAATGTTATAGAGATTCGTTCGTGCCTTAACTTTTTTAAATTTTTTTTTATTTTAAAAAGTGTGGGTCCCACAAAATATTGTGTGCGTAAGAAATTTGATGGTATCATGTTAAAGGACAAACTACACTCCCTAAAATAAATGTTATTAATATAACATTGTTTCGGGTGTAGTCTGGATCCTCTTTTCTGGCGTTTACTCGAGCCTCTTATCTAGTTTGAGACTCTTATCCTAAGTGATCCCTTACCCGACTTAGACCCATTATCCGACCTAGCCAAATCTCAATTATAATTGCGCATGTTTCATTGCAATGCTAAAGCATTGTTGTCTTACATCATAATGGATAAAATAAGATAAAGTGTCACATTTCAAATCATAATGGGGCATAAGTCAAATCGTATGAAATATATAATTTATCCTAAACTTTTTTTTAGATTAATAACTGTAAATGAAACAATTTTTTAGATTAATATTTTATTTTAGACTAAAAAGTCTAGGTTATCTAACATTTTCCCATTGAAATATTTTTAAACTTTTTATATCTCTCCAGTTCAACAAAAAATAATAATGGAGCCCGAACATTAAAACGAAAACAAGAAAATTTTCCTTCTCTCAACATAAATTATAACACCTAAAAATTTGTACAAATGATTTTGCCCAAACAAATTGAAACATTCGTAGAATTGGTTATGGGTTGCTCGATATAATATTGGACACTTCAAAATCTAAAACGATTAATTACTTAATATTTTCTTACCGCGTTCTTTTATCCATCATTTTCATTTCATTTCGAATTTTATAGTTCTTCTATTATTCCCTTTTTTTTTAACCTGATAATTTATCTACTATTTCATTTTATGCATAGTTATTAAAAATTTCAAATATATGCAGGGAATATATTCTAATCGACGTTTGTCAAACTCACAGAATAAAACCTTCTCAATTTTTTTTATTTTTTTGCAATAATTTATACTTACAAAGTTTTCTTTATTTTTTATATTAAAATTAAGGTTTAATGTTTTTCATGTCGTAGTAAATAATTTTATCTCCTATGTACATATAAAAATGTATGAGACTCGTATTCTTTTAGCTATAGTTATAATATCATTGTCACACCCAAAATCAATGCATCAGCCGTATCGAAAATGCTCTGCCAAATTGGGTCAACCCAATTCCTGTAGTCGTCAAAAAAAAAAAAAGTTGATTCATTTTAAAAATTAATTAAAAATTTGTAAAATAAAATGAATTAAAAATACTAACTAATTTTTTTTAAAATTAAAAATCATTTAAAACAAATACGAAGGAAATATACAAATTTATATTACATTCAAATTAATTGTCATCAAATTTCTTTGAATATCGTCTCAACGACTCTAGTGTCATAATTTTTTTGCCACACGTATCTATTAATTTGGTTATGCCAAAATATCATTAACGAGTCTACAGTTCCTATACACCATGTCCATGTTCAGACTGGTTGAAATGCCAGTCAATGGAAATTGATATTATGACTCATTATTTGTATTCAGATATTGGCGGAGTCAGCAAAAAGTCAATTAGGTCTCTGACTCTTTGATTACTCAGTACTGAATCATTGTATTTTATCTTCTTCTTTTTAATAGTTTAGACTTGGGCTCATGAATAGCTGTTGTTAGAGTTTTCTAAATTATATTTATATTTTTTTATAAACTGAGTGACTTGTAACGAGTTGTGATGAAGTGAATATAGTACAGACAAGTTTGACATAACCAATATTAGGTGAACCAGGATAAACCTCTGTGATTTTTTTTTCCATTTTCTCGATTTGTGTGATTTGTGTATGTCGATTTTCAATAATTTTTATCTAGGAAGGATGCTAGAGATGTCTAATAAGAGATAAATCAAAACCCAGAATTGAGAGCAAGTCAAGACCTCGTCGATTTGTAGGTGGTAAAGGAGGATGGTGTGAAGATCTATGAGGGTACTGGCTGAGCTTGATGAGGTGTTCGAGAGAATTGTTAATGAAGCTTTTGAGAATGCTCTTGCCTAGGTTAAGGTGTTGAACTTGTCCGCTAGGATTAATGGTTTGGATACTTCTTGCTTTGTGAAGGACGAGAGCATCTTCCGTACTGTTTTGTTTAGGTGATATAAGTGTCTAGTCAAAGACTAATAAATTACTTTTGGATATGATGCTCTCTCTAAGGTGTTTATGAAGAATATATCCTTAAGGTTGCGGATCACTGTGCATTGATAGAAACGATATTTGCCAAAGAAGCTATGTGTATGCACAGTGACAACATAACAATAAGAGAGATTAGTTCCATAACTGTAGGCTTTACCTTTTATTTATAGAGTTATCTGTGGGTAGTCGAGTTTTGGATCTTTGGTGACATGTTTGAGGGCCCAAGTTCAGCCACCTTACTGTCAAGATAAGATCGTCACTAATAAAGAATTATCTCCCTTATTTCGATGATTTTCCTCTTGGGTTGTCCCTTATTGGCCTTCTAACGTACAAGCCTCTTATGGGCCCATAATAGGTTCCCCTAACCCGATAGCTGGGGCGTCCGAGCTATCAGGGTGCATTGTATTTTTGGATTTGTCTCAAGCTTACATAGCTGAGTTATAATTTCAATTGTCTTGGATATATTCCATCCGAATTCAAACGAATCTTTGAACATTACATCTTGGACCTGGACCTAGATCTTGGTATATAATATTCATGTGGAACTTCATCACATGCATATGGAGCTTAATCATGCTTTTACCTGAGTCTATCATATCCCGGTTCAAGCTACTCATCATCTTGGTATGAGGATATACCCCCTCCTAAGCATTGTGACCGAGTTCTCCGTTATTCATACCTGGGTTACGAATCCAGGATTCATGTTTCACATCTTTACATCTTCTAAGTAATGATTACACCTTTGACAGGTGGAATCTTATTATTGGTTCGACGTGATTCAATAGTTGCCTGCCACCTTTTCAGTTTATGTGCATTAAATACTCTGTGAGAGCGTTTCCTCAACCGTCTTGTCTATGGTGATTTGACAAATTTGCACCTGCCTTTTTAATTTCGCACGTCAGACCATTCAATTGTTTGTATTGCTTCAACTTCCCCTAACCCTTTCAGTATTCTCGTTTCCCTATATGAGGTTGCCTCATTGCTTCATTCCTCCCTTCCGACTTCGCAGAGCTTCAACGCTTTCCAGGTACCTTTATGATCACCATTGACTATACCTGCATTTTTGTCTAAGTTTATTTTGAAATCAAATCTTATTCACTTGTTATACTTGTGTGTTTGCTGGACATGCTCGCACCATTGATAAATTATTGTCTTTCTGAGCTCATTCTTGTCTTTCTGAGCTCATTCTTGTCTTTCTGGGTTCTTTGAAGTTGCCAAGTAAGACTAGTTTGTATTTTCCCACCATTTAAGAGAATCAATTTTTTAGTAGGATTTTTTGGGTATTTTACCCTTTATGGGTATTTCTTTACATCCTTTTTCGCCCAAAAAATTCATAAACAAGTGTTAGGAAGGAGAAGTGGGAGAAGTCAAGGAAAATCAACGTGCCCAAGGGGGTTTGGACGAGATGATGAGATATAAGAGGATGATAAAGAGTTCCTGCAAAGTTTACTAGCCAGGCCAAAATTTTGGTTTTAGGGTATTCCCCAGGCCGAAGAAGAGAAGAAAGAAATAATGCTTCGAGGCTATCGTGATAAAGGTGGCAAGAAGAAAGCTAATATGTATCCTTCATCAGGCCGAGGTCATGCTCAACAATTGATAAATTAAGGTTTTAAATTTAAGCCTTCGAGTTTGTATGTATAATAACCCTCACTAGTAGCTGTGGATTTAATATTGAAGAATAATTATAAGGAAAGTAAAAGAAAAATAAATAAAGTCACCTTTGGTGAAAAATTAGTTAAAATGACAGTTAAGGGGTAAACAAAGTTACACAAAAAGTGAAAGTAAAGTTAGAAACATGACTAGAAAAATATTCTAGTCCATTGGATAAAGTTTGGTAATGAATGGAAGTGCATAGATAGATAAGTTTGGCTGGGTAATATGGTTTATGTCTGGATTATATTAAACTGTCAATCAGATTAAGATTTTTCATGATGAAAATTATCCCCAGTGGTCCAAAATACAGAGGAAATATTGTTCGTTTTATTTTGGCCATGGAAGTGAAAAAGTTTGCAATACATAAGGAAAAAGAGAAAATTTATTCAGTTAGCTTCAGCATTAATTAAGTTGAGCATGTTGCGCTTACTATCATATGAATGTTAATTAACCAGCTGCAGACGGGGCGTTATATTATGCCGCCATTTCTACGCCACATGTTCCTTCTTAGTCTCAAGGATCCGAGATATTAGCACCCTCAGTGTGTTGCCTCCAAAAGATGAAGGATCGGGATACTGGGTATTTGATCATTAGTTCTATAATCCGA